GCCACTCAGCCGGGAAGCCCGCCCCGGACCGGGATCGGGGCCCTCCGCGGGGCGGGGCGGGGCTGCGCTCCGGACAGCCCCCGGCTGCAGCCGGGGGTCCTGAGCCCCCGCCCCACATCCCCGCCTCTCGGCCTCAGTGTTCCCACCTGTAAAATGGGCCGGCCGCGGGTGGCTGGAGCACGCGGGAGCGGGCTGGAAGGGAGATCCAGAGGTCAGCTCTAGTCAGCCCGCCCCGGCAGTCTGTCCCGGACAAACCGTCAGCTTCCAAACCGCGCAAGAGGACGGTGGCCCCGATCCAGCACAGACCTCGCACCGACGTGCCGCAGCGAAGGAGGGGACTTCCTGCGCCTGCCAGTGCAGCCCCGGTGACATCCTGGGGAGAGGCCGTGCCCCCCAGCTACGGTCCGTACCCATCCGACCACGGGGGGAAATTCCTTCTGGACCCCCAGGATAGAGATCGGCCCGACCCCGAGCGGACAGGCAAGAGCCCCTAGCCGGGGCCCTGGCACGGCCCAGTGCCCATCCCCAAACACGCAGCAGGTCGGGTCGGTGACACCTGGGCATGGGGGAGATGAGGACAAGCCACAAACAAAACCAGACGACAGCCTCCGCCTGGCCTGGCTAGACACGCCGCTGCCTCCCCCAGGCGCCTGCTTGGAAACCTCGGGTGGGGCAGGAACCAAGGGGGGTGCAAGTGCACCCCCTGGACCCGCCCCGGCACTGGCGGGGGAAGGTGGGGGCTACGAATGCTCAGAGGTCCAGAGGCCGGAAGCGAGGGGGTCGGGGGGACTCCTCTGCCAGGACCAGCGGCCTGGCGGGGCTGGGTGGGACGGGGTGGAGGTGACACCTCTGCGTGGCGGGGCGGGGCGGGGCGGGGGCAAGGTGTGGCAGAAGTACACAGCACTATTAATAAGTGCTGCTATGACAGCAGCCAAACACGGTGGCCTGACTCACCCCGTGGCAGCAAACAGGTCTGGGCCGACTTCACGCTGGGAACGGTTTGCCCTGGCGTGAAAGGCGGGGGCCGGGCATTCGGGAGCGCCTGCATTCCTGCAGCCCATCCGCACCTCCCGTCTCAGCAGCGCGCAGCCCCGGCCCTGTTGCAGCACAGCGGGCCGGCATGTTGTTGTCATCCTCCAGGACTTCCTGGGCGTTAGTCAGTGTTTCGGGTGCTGCACATTGCCGGGGCGTCATCCTCTTGCCGGCCACTGTATGATTCAAGTATCTCCCACGCAAGATCAATGACAGGCCACACAGCCCTCTGCATTGGTGAAAAGCTGCCTGAAGGAGGGCAGGATCCTTATCCCCATTTTAGAGATGGGAAAACTGAGGCACGTGAGGGTACTGGAGGGGGGTGTTTGGCTTGTGGGCAGGAAGCCTTGCTCAAAGAGTTTCCTGCGGAGGGTCTGCTCTAGCTCTGGAAGACGCGTCCACGGCCGAGCCCCGGGGCTGTGCGCGCTTTGTGCCCCGCTCTGACTGACGCCCCCGGCCCGCCCGGTCACGGCTTCTTGCACCGTCACAAGACCCGGCTGCAAAGACTTTTGATTTCTCCTGGAGAACAGTCTGTGGCTGCTCTCAGGCTCTGAAACGTGGTGGAGCCCCATCAACGTGGCCTGCACCAGCGTACACGCACGTGTGCATGCACGCACACAACCAAAACACAGTCACAAACTGTCTCTCCCGCTCGCACACAGAGAGTATCAAAATACAGTCTCAGTCTCTCACCAGCACACGCGCACGCGCGCACACACACACACAGCACCAAAACACAACCAGAGTCTCCCTCACTATTACACACATGCCACCAAAACACAGCCAATCTCTCTCCACACGCGCACGCACACTTGCGTGCCGTGGTTCCCAGCCAGCCTCTCCCCAGCCTGGCAAGTCTGCCTTCAGGGCCCGAGCTGAGATAAAAGCCCCAGCGGAGGCTGCGCTGTGCCCGGAGGATTCATTTCTGTGCCAGATGCTGGACGTGCTCCTGGCTCCAGCCCTTTGCTTCCCCCGCGCGGGTCCTGGGAGCAGGGGGCACAGTCCACGGTGCCTCCACCGCATCCCGGGGGAAGCTGCCTTGCAGCACGTGGCTGCCAGCCTTGCCAAGGCTGCATGACTCGGAGCCGGAGATGCCAACCCGAAATCGCTCAGACTCGCGCAGTCCCTCGGGATCCCCTGGCTGGATCCGGGGCTGCAGCGTGCACTCTGGCGCCTGGAGCAGGTCCCTGCCACTGGAAAGGAGTGGCCTCCCCTTGTGCGGGGTCCCTGGGGGCTGCCAGCTCGGGCAAGCGAATGCAGCAGGGAGAACAGGAGACCCGCGGTACCAGCTCGTGTTGACGCCCGGTGGAGCCAGCACTGAGCTCATGCAGCTAAACCGGGTTAAGGCCCAAGCAGCCTGTGACTTTAACCCAGGATAAGCATGCTCACAACCCGGGGTTAGCACATCGACCCTGTGCAGCAGGACACGCTGAACCCCTCCTCGGCCTGGGTGGGACATCGGGGCACAGCCGGGCCTGGGCCTGCCCTGATGATGTGAATTTGGCTGAAGCATCACCATGTGCCTCAGTTTCCCCTTCTCTGCCTCACCTCCCAGGCAGGTGGAGGATGCAAATCTGCCCCCTTCCAAGTGCTTGGCAGCCCTGGCAGCAAGGTGTGTGGACGCAGCCCCCCC